GCCATCCATCGGCACCACACAGCTCGCGTACAAGCTCCAGACGTGCTCGACAAAGATCTGGAAGCGCTGCATGCGCTCGGCAATGACGCTCGGCTTCTCCGAGTCGAGTGCCTTCTTGGGAAAGGGCAGCTTGAGCACGTGGGCAAGTGAAGGAGACGAAGACGCAGCGTGAAGCTTTGCCAACTGAGATCGAAAGTGGAGCAGCTGCGAGTAGCGTTTGTGGATGGTCCAGGCGCGGGATGTGATCGGGCACTGGAGCGTCATGTCATATTGTACAAAGTAGCCAAGGACACTTTGACCCGAGCCAATGGACGCCGTGAGACTGACCGGCAAGAGACCGAGCGCGGTTGGAGGGCTGTCCCACGGGCGAGCTTCTGGGCGTAGAGACAAAGACGACGCTTCCACTAGTGCTTTGGCCGACGCAATAAAGTGAATGCCATCGCTCGTCGTGTGGCGGGACGTCATGTCAAAGGCGTGGTTAAAGGCAAAGTGACCATTCCTGCCCTATCATTAAGTGGGACAGGCGACGGAAAGAAAACATGTGATTTTTCGTTCTATTTTTAGATTCGCCGGGTGCACGGGTGGTTGTTATCAGACGTTCTCGCACGACGATCTTCAGCAGACTAGAGTCGGTATAGTCGTGTTTAAAGAGCTTTTAGATGTCAAGTCTCTAGATACACCATGGAGGCCTCACCGCTGTTGACTCGAACGTGGTATGAAGGCGGAAGCGACTAGTAAGGAAGCCAAAAGATGTGCCACAGCAAAATGATTCGCAAACAGATTCGCTGGTTGGATACCCGCACCGACCGTCACTCACAAAGCTCCGTCCGCGTTCTTAGCTGTTACGAAGCAGTGTCCGGCGTGTCCGAAGAGAAGACGATAGCATTGGTTCAACTTGTCACCGCCTGCACGTGCCTGGGATACGACCACTGAAGCCCTCTGGAAGTACCGCAAGCCACACGTTTTTTGTTTGGGCACAATCCTCGGTGTGGCGTGCGTGCGAACGTACTTAGAATCTACAAGGAGACATGCACTGCATGATGAATCCAGCCAGACGCGCGTCTCCCACCGAGCCTGGTACCAGGCATTGTATACCAGCAATCGAGCCATCGAGTTCGGTACATCTAAGTACATGTGCCACAACTAAAACATACATGTATGTGGCGAAAGCTGTGGTCAACCTTTCACTCCATTATACTGCCGTACCCTCCACAAGACAATTGAGAGCCAAGCCAGGAAGTTAAACAAACTCTCAAAGTTGATTATGCGATCGGAACTGGAGCAGCTGCGCGCAGCGCTTGAAGATGGTCCAGGCGCGGGTGTGATGGGACACTTGAGCGTCATGCCGTATTGCAGCCAAATGCGCTGTGGCCTGAGCCTAACGGGTGCAAGCTGGAACGCTGAAGCCGTCGTTGAAGCATGCCAGCGTCAGTGGCGAGGGCGTGACTGGCGACGTGGCTACTAGCGCCTTGGCGGACGCGATGAATTGAATATTGATTGCGTTGTCAAGATTCAAAGGCGAGGACAGTGAGAGTGTACTTTGTGTACGTGTGCAAACGCATCTGAGGTGAAGCAACCAGGCTTGTCGCATGTCTTGGAGGGCATGTGATCGATAATCGCCGCCACTCAATGATACATTTTTTAATTGGAGTTTTTTCGTGGCAGAGAGGTTTTTCGTTTGGTCTCTCCGCTTTAGCTTTCGCCCAGAGAATCAATAGATAAGGACTATGTGATCTGCACGATGACTCGAGACATTGTATGCTTGCATGGCCCCGGAAACCTGGCTCGTTTTGGCAGGATCGAAAGGATGCAGTGTTAGCGGCGTACAATGTAGACGTGGGGTCTGTACATGCCTGCTCTAGCCAGACCCTTCTTTTGTCGCCGCTAAAATCCTGGGAAAAAGCGCCGGCTCAATTCCATCACCAGCAGGATACTGTAGAACAAGGCGTCAAAAACCAGTGAGCTCACAACCCTACCCCTTGCTGGAAACTTCGCTCTCGTGATACACTGTAGATGCCGCACCGTCAACGTGCATAAGGAGCCCGCGATTACGGATCTGTTGACGATCCCCACATCAATGTGGTTCAGTGACTTTAACAAATGAATCCTTGATGCCGTCGTATCTTTGTTAGCCGAGTCATGATCGTGCACCTCATCAAGATGTATCTACGACAGAACATGCAGCACGATCGATCCGGGCGCTCCGCGGCACGTTGGACAGCGTGACGTGATGACCAACCAGTCGCACAAGCACGGAACGTGAAAGCCATGACTGCTAAAAACGCTCCAAGACAATTGCAGTGGGCGGTGCAAAGCTCTCCAAGCAGATTGGACACGCGTCGGCCATCGTCGCAAGCATGGTCGTCGTCACAGTGACGTTCAAGGCTTCCGAGGAATACGGAGAAAGATGAACAGTCGCGCGAGGACCCCGGCCGGCACAACTGGCGGCTCGTCCGGGTGCCGCAAAGCGTGGGGCCAAGCGGCCGCGTACAGTGTAGTAGTTTGTTCGATGCTAATGTCATTTGTATAGTCAGTCCGAGTCTAGAGAGTTGGGCCTTGTTCTTGTATGGAATGAAGGGGTGGGCGTGTCGGCAATAAACTGATGGTCGTCGATTTGTCCGACCTTGCCACACACACCACCAAAAACGGTGCTTGGAGCGACTACAACACAACGCCAAGATAGCCTTACTTTCAACTACGGTGGGATATCTCAGAGACAACAAACGAATTAGCTCATACAAGGTTCGTGCCTCGCATATCAACGCGGGGGACGTGCCATTTTCTGTGCAATCTCTGTGCAGCCCCTTGCTGATCGAGTCCAAAGGGCACCGCGTGCATTTCAAGTGGCGCATCTGCGATGGCCAAGAAATCGAGCGCGTGTTACGAAACGTTTTTAAAACTTTTTCAAAACTTTTCATCATCCGCCCTTCTCTGCTACTGCAAACCATTCGCATGGTCGTCTCTCTGGAGCCATGATGCGTCGTCCTGTAGTCTGTTGCATCAAATGCCATGAAATAACAGCTACTCGCTACGGAGCTCCAGGCAGCAATGCCACAAGCCGCCTTGCTGGGCCCACAAGAAACCATGGCAAGAAACAATCAGCGCAACTTGAAGACTCGTGCCACCTGGCGCGATGCAACAGACGGCAGCACACAACGTGTGGTTCTCCGTTCATGATGCTCCAGACATGCAGCCGATGTTCTGCTGGTGCTGGGAGAGACGAGTGTGTGAGTGAAGGTGGACCATTGTTTTGGCCTGTCACACCACGAGTAGTGCGGCTATCTCTCTACAGCGCACTTTGCAATTGACTCGACCGCCATCAGCATGAACGTAGAAGCAGCGTACTCACAGTGGGCCGCCATCTACGACACCAACGCCAACCGGACGCGCGATTTAGAAACGCTCGTCGGCCAGCGCTTCCTCCTCGAACAGCAAACCACCTTTGAGCACGTGCTCGAGCTCGGCTGCGGCACGGGCAAAAACTCGACCTGGCTCGCACCCACAACGCGCCGCCTCACGAGCGTCGATCTCACCGCGTCGATGCTCGCTGTGGCCCGCGCCAAGGTGCCTGCTTCCCACGTTCAGTTTCTGCAAGGCGACCTCCTCGCGCCATCGTGGAACGCGTTTGCCTCGCCAAGCTCGGTCGACGTTGTGACGTTCAGCCTCGTCCTCGAACACATCGAGCATTTGGACCCGATCTTTGAAAAGGTCGATCAAGTGCTCCAGCCCGGCGGGCTCGTATACGTCGGCGAGCTCCACCCGTTCAAGCAGTACGCAGGCACCAAGGCGTGCTTTGAGACCGATGATGGCACCAAGCAAACCGTGACGGCTTTTACGCACCATACGAGCGACTTTGTGGCGGCAGCGCAGGCGCGCGGCTGGGTGTTGGCGCAACTTGGCGAGTACTTTGACAACGACGATCGTCGCACGGTGCCTCGCATTCTCGGTCTTCTCTTCCGTAAGCCCTAGCAGAGGAGACTCCATGCAGATTTTCTTCTCTTTTTCGGTGGAGAACATGTCATCATTCTACAAAAGTCAACCCATGGCAAGGTTTTGTATGCCCTTTGTACAACTACGACTAGAGAAACACCGTTTTCATTTGACACTTGAATACATAATGTGGAAGACCAACGATTCGTGCTCACAGCGTGCGTGGGTCGGCTACGCGCGAAGAAAGAGTTGTTCTGACCACTGTCCATTATCCGGATACCGCGGAAAACCGCAACTTCAACATGCCACACCGCGTTGATGCATCATACTGCTGTAGAAAAGCTGCATGGCCGAATACCGTCTCGGGCCCACGCCCACGCAACGGTCACTCTATCTTTATTGCAAGCGCACCTCATCTACGCGCCCGCGCGTCTCGATGTGTGGCCACTTCAAGCGGACTTCAACCCGACGGTTAGGATCGTCGCACGCCATTGGCTACCGGACGATGCGCATCGCTGATTGGCCAACGTCTTCTATTATAATGTTTCCGTTAAATGTGATAACTCTACGTGCCACCGTTACACGACTCGGATTGGCTAAAAAGCAAGGCCGTTGGCGTCGATGATTGGTGCCATATACGAAACCAACTACTACGGTATTGAAACCATGGCGGTCGCCAATCGGTGCACCATGACCTCGCGGTCGGGCCGCGACCTGCAGCGCTACGATGGCCACGCGCGCCTTGTCGTCTGCGCCGTCCCTCTCTCGGCCGACGGCGCGCGCGTCCTCCTCATCTCAAGCTCCAAGCAAGCCGACCAGTGGATCCTGCCCAAGGGCGGCTGGGACGCGGACGAGTCCGCCGAGGCGTGTGCAGCGCGTGAGCTCGCCGAAGAGGCCGGGGTACGACGGTCTTGCTCATCTTGGCGATCGTATCATTAGCGACTAGGTGCACGGCGACATCCTTGGCGAGCTCGGCGCCGTCGACTACGAGACGGCGAAAGGCAAGCCCTGCCGCCTGCACGGCTTTGGCGTGCACGTCACGCGCGAGTTTGATGCATGGTCGGAAGCTGCTAGCCGACGGCGGGAATGGGTACACACAACAAGAACGCATGGCTCGTAGCTGTAACGCCACGTAGGTGTCTTTGGCGACGGCGAAAGCACGGCTGGCTCGGCGGCCCGAGCTCGCGACCATGCTCGAGCGAGCGATTGCACTCGCATGGGCGCTAGAGCATTGAGACAAAGGGTATCTATATAGTACACATGTATTACGTGCGAATAAATCGGGGCGGTGGAGATTGCGGAGGGCGAGCTGCGACAGCAGCAAGCGTGCAAGATGAGGAAATACGTCACAGCCACTTGTCGCGAGCGCGGGCTGAGGCCGCTTCGCAACAGCAGGGACGAATTCAGCACCGCGCGACGACCGACCCTCTAGCAACGAGCCGCCGTTGTGTGCGGGGTCGTGACCGCGCCAAGGACCTGCGCACAAGGTGTAGTACGTAGTCAAGGGCCTTCCTCCATGGACTCAAGTCGAAGCCGATCCTTCATGGCCTACGACCTGACGCCGGCGTCGACATCGACACTGAATTCTTCGAGGCGCGCTCCCAACCTCTATCGCTCGCAGCATGCACCAAGTGGCCAAGGGGCAGTGCGCCGAATCGCCCAAGCTTGGCCGATCGCATTACATCGTCGGCACGTAACGCCATGCTGCACTATCAACTGTGGGTGATTCTTTTTAAACAACGTTTCCTAGTCTTTCATTTCCGCAATCTTACCGGGATACTCGGCATAGTAAAGACAACCAATCCATTGTTCTAAGAGAATATACCACATGTCGCAGCATTACGCCGCCGGCGCCGTCGACCTTGCCCAAGCACGCGGTTGTCGACATTGCCGATTTCGCATCGACTGCCCACGAGCCAGTACTCTAACACTCCTAAGTCGATACTAGTATGCTTCCACGCGCCGTGCTCTCGGTGCTTTGTCTCGCGGCGGCCGCCCTCGGTGCGCCCCGCGGTGTCTGCTACGACGCGTACAACTCGGACAGCGCGTCGACCCACTTTGCGTCGATTGCATCGCGCTTCGACGCGGTCCGAACGTACCAGACGTGGACGCACAACAGCAACCTCATTGACATTGCGGCCCGCAACGGCCTTGCCATGTACCCGGGCATCTGGCTCCGCGGCAATGGCGTCGATTTCTGGGCCGACCTCCGCGCGCCGTCGACGGCACCAAGCGCAACCCGGGCACGGTCAAGGCCGTCTTTGTCGGCAACGAAGATTTGTCCAACAACTGGAACGCCGGCGCGGTCCTCGACAAGATCAACCAAGCCAAAGGCGCCTTCCGCGACGCCGGCCTCGGCTATGTCCGCATCGGGACGGTCCAGACCGACGGCGACTGGCTCCACAACGCGTGGCTCGCCGACCACGTCGACGTGGTCGGTGTCAACATTTACCCATTCTTTGGGTCGCACCCGGACTCGTGGAACAACCCCGTGAAAGACCTCGACGCGCGCTGGACTGCGATGACCAACCGGTTTGGCAACAAGGTGCTCTTGACCGAGACGGGCTGGCCGGACGCCGGTGGCAACGTCGGCGCGCATGTGGCCAATTGGCAGAACGCGCAGAACTACTTTCGCAGTGCGCAGGCGTGGATGGACGGCAACAAGGGCGGCGAGCTCCCGACGTACTTTATGTACCACGACAACCGCGGCAAGCCCAGCTACGAAGGACACTTTGCCCTGGCCGAGCCCAATGGGCAGTGGAAGTTTGAGTTCAACGCCAAGAAGAACCCGCCCAACAACAATGGCGGCAACAACAACAACGACGGCGACAAGCCCAGCGGCCAGTTCCAGCTCATTACGAGCCGCGGCAAGGCGCTCCGCGAGTGGTACGGCGGCCTCGCTGCCAAGGACAACAACAACGACGCGTTCACCAAGTGGACGTACGATGCGAACGCGCAAACGCTCAAGAACGAAGGTGCCAACAAGTGCCTCGACGCGTACATGGACGGCAACAACGTCAAGGTGCACCTCTACCACTGCGACGGCAACAACTCGAACCAGAAGTGGCGCCTCGCCGGCGGCAAGGTCATCCACGCGCGCTTCTCCAACGTCTGCCTCGACGCCGATGCCAACGACCCGAACGAAGGAGTCCAGAACTGGGCGTGCGTCGACAACAACTCGAACCAGGTCTTCAAGATCTCGACCGGCGGCAGTGGCAACGGCGGTCGCGTCGCGCTCACGGTCCGCAGCTTCAACCGCGTCTTTGCGGTCGGTTCCAACGACCAAGTGCTCTTCCGGTCGCCGCAAGGCAGCATCCAAAGCGACACGAACGCCCTCTGGACGCTCGACGGCAAGGGCTTGCTCAAGTCGGCGGCCAACGGCAAGTGCTTGGACGCTTGGGAGGCCAAGAACGGGGGTGGTGTCCACTCGTGGAACTGCGACGAGAACAACGCCAACCAAAAGTGGTCGTACGACACCAACACCAAGCAGCTGCGCCACGCCAAGCACAGCGGTTATTGCCTTGACATGGGGTCTGAGAACGGCGACCGCCCGCAGCTGTGGCAGTGCCACCCCGCCAACGACTACTGGGCCAAGTTCCAGCAGTTCGCCCAAGAAAGCTAAGCGACGCTCCGTATTTTGCATGCAAGATCACTACGATAAGCAGTAGTAGTCAAATCTCTTTGCTTGAAAGCGAAGAACAATGTGTTGGATCGTGCTCCGAAATGAAAATGACTTGTGATTGGAATTTGACGGACTCGATGGGAAAAACGAACAGCCAGTGACGGGTCGGTTCAAGCCCAGTGTCCGACGACTCTGCGCTTGGTTTGTGTCCCGCTCGTTATGCTCACAAGCACCGAGAATCAAGAAGGCCGTGTTGTGGTGTTGTGCGGTGTGGCATTGATTGTGCCACCGCATGCCGCCAACCCGACAGCATGGTCCATGTGTTGACGATGTTGCTTTTACCGCGACAGCCGGCCCACCTCTCACGTTAGAGTACATCATATACAGACTTTGTTCCAGGAGGCAGTACAGTATTTGAACACAGGATTTTGTGGGGAGCTGCGGGTTTGTTGACTGGATCGCTCGGTGGGCAATGCGCCGTGCGACGTTGCAACGCGCTCGAAATTTCCTCTCCGTCGCAGTGTCCGCAGTTATTGGTACATCGTGCGCCAAGGGATACGTGTGCGATTGCGCCCGCGTGTCGTCTGGCGCTCGCGTCAAGGACAGGGCAGTTCGTTGCAGCAACCGGCCCGCACCAATCGTTCCAACATCGACGGTCCATTGCACCCACGACGATTGTCCGAAGCACCCGTCGTCACCACACTTGCGCACCGCCCTCGTCCTCGCTCATGACAAAGTCACGGAGCCGACAAGTGTTGCGCGCTCTGCCATACCCACTCGTACCGCGGTGGCCCCGTTTTTACTTGGACGTTTTGTGCCAACGCGGGCCAGCCCTAGCCACCGTCGGTTGGAAACACATGTTGAGCCATTCCGCCCACCGGCCGGCACAAGACCAGATGGGGACCAACGTGGCACTGGTCACGACGCGCGGTGGCCGGCGGCGCCAGCCACAAGAACATCCTTGGCCGCACCGGCACTCCGGTATCACAGGTCGATTCGCACGCGTCGGTCTGCAGCACCGCTTTGTATCGAGCGTGCATGGCCGTCAACTGCGTCCACAACCGTCGCCAGATCCGCTCTTGGGTCGTACCACCAGATCACCCGATAGATACACCACGATTGTGGCATCTGGTCGACGCTGTCTCTTCGCGTCTGGCTTCAGAGGTGGTCTCACTTTTTCATTTCGATGCGCGGACTCGCAGTGGTCGCTGTCGTCGTTGCCGCGGTCGCCCACGTCGTCGCCGCCGGCATGGGCGTCTGCTACGACATCTACGACGCCAACAACATCGACAAGCACTTCCGCACCATCAAAACGCGCTTCTCGGCCGTCCGCACGTACCAGACGTCGCTCTGGACGCCGCGCAACGTAATTGACGCCGGCGCCGACAACGGCCTCGCCGTGTACGCTGGCATTTGGCCCCGCGACGGCATGGACTTCAACAAGGAGCTCCAGGCTGTCATCGACGGCCACTACCGCCACCCGGGCACGCTCCAAGCCGTCTTCGTCGGCAACGAAGACCTTATGAACAACTGGAACCAGTGGGCGATCCGGGACAAGGTCAACGCCGCGCGCAGCCGTCTCCGCTCGGCGGGCATCACGGTGCCGGTGGGGTCTGTCCAAACGGACGGCGACTGGCTCAAGAACCGCGACCTCGCCAACGCGTGCGACGTCCTCGGTGTCAACATCTACGCGTTCTTTGGCGGGTCGCCCGTCTCGTGGACGAATCCGATCGCGGATTTGGACGCGCGCTGGAAGGCGATGACGCAGACCTTTGGTGGCAACAAGGTCATGCTCACGGAAACCGGGTGGCCCCACGGCGGCGGCAACAACGGCAACCACGTCTCGAACCGGGCAAACGCAATCGACTACTTCAACAAGGTCCAGGCATGGGTCGGCGCGGGCAACGGCGGCGCGGCGCCCATGTACTTTATGTTCCACGACAACTGGCGCAAGCACGGGTTTGAAGGGCAGTTTGGTCTTGCCGACGCCAACAGCAACTGGAAGTTCGACTTTGGCCCTGCCCCGATTGTCGACGACGACCAGCGCTTGAGCTCGCCGTTCCAGCTCGTGACGAGCCGCCACAAGGCGCTCCGCGAGTACTACGGCGCGGCGGTGGCCAAGGACAACAACCAAGACGTGTTTACGCTCTGGTCGTACGACCGGTCGGCGCAAACGCTGCGGAACCTCGGCGCGAATCTGTGCCTCGACGCGTACTATGATAGCAAGGGTAGCCCGCGCGTGCACTTGTACACGTGCGACGGCAAGAACGCGAATCAAAAGTGGCGCGTCGTCGACAACAAGGTCATCCACGCTCGGTTCTCCAACCTCTGCTTGGACGCCGACCCGAGTGACCCGACCGAAGCCGTCCAAGTCTACGCGTGCGTTGGCAACAACGACAACCAGGTCTTCCGCGTCTCGGACGCGCTGCAACACGTGCGCCTCCAGTCCCAAGCGTTCAACCGCGCGCTCGGTGTGGGCGAAAACGACCACGTGCTTTTTCTCGAGGGGCCGAGCCCGAGTGCGCTCTGGACGTTCGATGCCAAGTCGAAGATTGTTAAAAGCGAAGCCAACGGCAGGTGCTTGGACGCGTGGGAGGCCAAGAACGACGCAGTCGTGCACTCGTGGGACTGCGACGGCAACAACGCCAACCAAAAGTGGTCGTACGACGCCAGCACCAAGCAGCTCCGCCACGCGACGCACAACGGCTTTTGCCTCGACATGGGCTCGGACAACGGTGACCACCCGCACTTGTGGCAGTGCCATGATGCGAGCGCGGTCTGGGCCAAGTACCAGCAGTTCGAGTTCCAAGTCTAACGTATGTAGTACTACGCAATCTTGAAGTCTTTTCACACCCGAATTCTATGCCCTTCAACTGCAATTCTTTTCATTCCCAATGCAAATCACAGTCCGATCCAACTAAGTCCCGCGACAATAGGAGGTGGTTCGCAGTGGGAAATAAGGGCGGGACCGTCTCACAAGGCAGTCCTTCACATCGTACAGAGCTAGCCGCCCCTTTGTAGCTTGTAGCAACCCGGGTCTGCGCATAAATGTAAATATACTGTACACGTCCATTGCGTCATGGAGAGTGATAGGTAGCTCGGATAAGGTTCCATGCCAGAACAAAGTATGCTACAAGTAGTTTTTCCACCTACGCCAGCGTTACGACGATATCTTATATCCTGGGCAGTCGAGATAAATTCACGGGTGCGCGAAAAGATCGAAGGGGCTTCGAATCGAAGAGGCATCACACGTCGAGTACATACCATTGCTGACGTCTTCGTCGCATCGCTCGTCCCAGAGTCCACTAGAGGCGGAGATGCACATTCGATTTCAGCGCAATCGGTGCATTACGCCACGCGCCCGTCCGAACCTTTTGTTGAGGTTGTCGCTCGATTGCATCCCTCACGCACTGCCTTGTGCCTTCCTGTTATTGTGTGCTGGGGCAATGCACGCCTTGACGATGCAACGACGATGATCGTCTCGACGCCGGGCTCACTTGGCTGCTTTTGGACTGGGATTTGCGGCGAGGTAGTGGTGCGGCGTGCGCGCTGGCGTCGCATCGTGTACTATGCCAACACCTCGAGAAACATATAGTGCCAGACAGCGTTTCGACGTGCAAGACACCGACGTCCGTGTCACGGGAATGGATGGATATGCACCGGTCGGTCGGTTGTTGTGTCCCGGAATGCACCTGAGAAATACGGCGAGGCCCAGACGTTCCGAAGTAGCTTGCCAGATGGCGAACGACGAGTCTGTGGAACGCATCCAGGTCGTACATACTACTGCGAGTCGAACGCCGGTGCTGTCCTCGCTGCAGCCGCACCTGCCACTGCACCCGCAAAGGCACTTTGCCGGCGGAGCCTTCGAGGCGCGGTACCACGCTGCTCCTGAGATTGCTGTTCTACGACCCCACTTGGTCTACGGTAACGGGCGACAGGTAGGGGGCCCCATTAAAAAGACAGCAATCCTATTGAAACATGTATACTGCGGCCCCGTGGCACCCAAGAGATGGTTTTGGCCCCACCCACGCGACCAAGTGATCGGGGCCGTCGCAATGGATTCGGGCCTTGCGACGGCGACGCACGGTGCACCAGCTGGCACTTGGAATTCGACAGCCACTCGCTCTCGACCTCTCGACCTCTCAGCTCTCAGTTTTGCATTTACCTCCACCATGCTCCGCAGTGCACTCCTCTTCCTCTTCGCCGCCTGCCACACGGTGGCCGCCATGGGCGTCGCATACGACACGTACAACGCCAAGGACATTGACAAGCACTTTCGCTCGATCAAGTCGCGCTTCTCGGCGGTCCGCACGTACCAGACGTACCTCTGGAACCCGACCCGGAATGCGATTGACGCGGCCAGCGACAACGGCTTGCCCATCTACGCAGGTATCTGGCTCCGCAACGGCATGGACTACAACGCCGAGGTGAACGCGGTCATTGACGGCTGCAAGCGCCACGGTCACATCGTCAAGGCCGTCTTTGTCGGCAACGAAGACATCAGCAACGGCTGGAACCAATGGCAGGTGCGCGACAAGGTCAACGACGTGCGCGGCCGCCTCCGCGCCGCCGGCATCAACGTCCGCGTCGGTACGGTGCAGACCGACGGCGACTGGCTCAACAACCCCGACTTGGCCAACGCGTGCGACATCATGGGCGTCAACATCTACGCGTTCTTTGGCGCGTCGCCCAACTCGTGGACGAATCCGATCTTGGATTTGGACGCGCGCTGGAACCAAATGGCCAACCGGTTTGGCAGCAACAAGCTGCTTTTGACCGAGACGGGCTGGCCCTTTGGCGGTGGCAACAACGGCAACCACGTCTCCAACTGGGGCAACGCGGTCGACCACTTTAACAAGGTCAACGCGTGGTCGCGTTCGAAAGGCGGCGAGAACCCCATCTACTTTATGTACCACGACAACCCGGCCAAGGGCGGGTTCGAAGCACAGTTTGGTGTCGCCAACGCCGACGGCAACTACAAGTTTGACTTTTCGGCCCTGACGCCCGGCAGCGGCGGCGGCGGCGACGACAAGCCCAGCGGCCAGTTCCAGCTCATCACGAGCCGCGGCAAGGCGCTCCGCGAGTGGTATGGCGGTGTTGCGGCCAAGGACAACAACTGGGACGGCTTCACCAAGTGGACGTACGATGCGAACACGCAGCAGATCAAGAACTACGGCGCCAACAAGTGCCTCGACGCGTACATGGACGGCCCCAACGTCAAGGTGCACGTCTACCACTGCGACGGCAACAACTCGAACCAAAAGTGGCGGCTCAACGGCGGCGGCTCAACGGCGCCAAGGTCATCCACGCGCGCTTTTCCACCAAGTGGACGTACGATGCGAACACGCAGCAGATCAAGAACTACGGCGCCAACAAGTGCCTCGACGCGTACATGGACGGTCCCAACGTCAAGGTGCACGTCTACCACTGCGACGGCAACAACTCGAACCAAAAGTGGCGGCTCAACGGCGCCAAGGTCATCCACGCGCGCTTTTCCAACATCTGCCTCGACGCTGACGTCAACAACTGGAGCGAAGCCGTCCAGGTCTGGTCGTGCGTTGACAACAACTCGAACCAGATCTTCAAGATTGGCTACTAAATGATCGAGTAGTGCATTCGAGGACAAATATCTACCACAGTTAGGACTTATTGATGTATTTTGCCGTTGACGCATTCTTGTGTTGCGCAAACCACGAGCCATGGCGGAGCGAAATCAGACGGACGCGATTGGAGGTCATCTGGAGCGTCGTGTTGATGAAAGATACCACGGTGTCTTCGACAGTCGCGTTGGTCATCCTGTTTGTAAACCAGGGCATTCGACAACAGCCGTCACCGCGGCCCAGCTACAGTCAAGCGAGCGGACGGGTCGCTCGTCGATATTACTAGGCACCCAGGGCAGAGAAAAAAATCTCGGGACGCACCTCGACGGAGCTCGGAGCTCGGAGGCGATTGCCGTTCATGTGGCACCGTTCGCTCGCTGTGTAGCGGCAAAGGTTTGGGTTCTCTCTGCAACGCATCAACGAGGCAGAATCGTATTTTAGGCAGTGCACCCTAACCGCAACCAGCGCGTCGGTACAGAGCATGCACCGAGAGAAGGCAACATCGCCGCAGTGCAACGCCTTGCTCGCATTCCATAGCAGTTTGTTCCTCACAACCTAGTACTAGTATGGCAGTCTTACCGGATATGACATCGTCAACACAAGTCGCGGTGAGGAAGATTTCTTCCCTTGCTCGTGACGACCGCCGCCGACCGAACTAGAGTGTGAAAACTCGAGTGAATTCCATTATTCGGGGGCGGTTCTTCAACTTTCTTACAACGACACTGGCAGCGTCGTGGTCTGCGCAAGCACCTAAAATAGTGGCCCAGCTTGCAATGCTGTAGTAGTAGCTCTACTTCGCCGAACGAAGCGATGCGCCGTTATTGCCAGGGCCTTCGCTCGCGGCCTCCGCTTCTGCATGCGAAGGTTAAAGATGCAGCTCGCACGGGAGGACAACTCTTCCATTGCATGGCTTCGAACTACGACTGGTCAGTCAGTTCTCGCCCATGGATTGGCCATATATCGAAGTTCGAACCCAATCACATTGGACTTCGGCAATATCTGATCTGTCATTTCCGCAGCGGCGAGCGAGCGCGATGGCCAACTACCTCACACAGGCCGTGATCCCGATGGCTATCATCGTCCTTTGCCTTGCGTGCTTTGTGTACTTTTGCATTTTCAAGCTCATGGCCAAGCCGCTGCCCTTTACGCTTGGTCGCCCGCTCCTCTCGAATGAGTATGATCTCGCCAATCGACATGGCACCTCACCGATCGCCACGTAGCTTTCTTGGTGCAATCCACGGTCTGAACCGCCAAGACATTGAAGAGCTGTGCGCAATGCGATACGCCAACGCGGTCTCATAGCGGCTCGATAGGATGGCTCATGCCGCCAAGTGGCGCTGCCTCGTGTGCGCCTTTGAGAATGCCGAGGTATCGACGACGTGCGTGCTCTGCGACTCGGCCAAAGGTACTCTTCGCCACTTCTTATGAGCACCATCGTCTCTACTCATCATGACTTGGCAGACCTCGAGAGCCCACCACTGCAGCGATCTCTCGCGCAAGAGGCTGCCACGTACGACGAACGATCCCAATACCAAAGTTGTTGGTGGAACGATAGTCGCATAGGCACCGCCATGACTGGAAGCGGACCTTGGATGCGCACACTGGTCACGTCGTGTGGAGCGCAATGTCGTTCATACCACACGTGGTGCGGCCACGGGCCGACGTGGAGATTGCAATCGATACCGAGACGGCCCAAGCCGCGCTCGAGCTCGAGCTCACGATTCTGCGCGTGCGGCAGCCGCACGACGGAGCCGCCATGTCGCTTCTCGGGACACCGTGGCCAGCATGGTTTGTCCCGCAGCTCGCCGCGCTTCAAGCGTCATCGTTCTCGACAAAGTACTTGTGGTTTCTATCACAGCTCGACGCGTTGCCGAGCGCGAGGTATGCACACCGTCGCAGTTCTCATGACGCCTTGATCTCGTATCTTGATGCAATATGAGTAGCATTGCCAAGCTCTCGGTGCACCGGGGCAAGCTCCTCGACGGCTCGATGCGGCTGCTGGAGCAGCTGCCGCTACAGCAGCTCTGTGCACAAACCCGCATCGAGCTCATTGGTGAGATCGGCGTCGATGCCGGCGGCCTCCAGCGCGAGTGGTACACCATGCTCACCCAAGCCATCTTGGACGAGAGCGCGGGTCTCTTTGTGGCCACGGACAACTACAAGTATACGATCGCGCCGCATTCGTCGGTGCGACCCGCTCGGTATCGCTGCGTCGGCCGGCTGCTCGGGCGCGCCTTGCTCGACGGCCAAGTCCTTCCGTTCCACCTCTGCACACCCATGTACAAGCTCCTTCTCGGCCTTCCGCTCTCGCTCCTCGACGTGCAATTCATGGATCAGCAGCTCTACAAGAGTTTGCTCTACGTACAGACAACGCCGGACGTGGCCGCGCTGTGCCTTGACTTTACTGTCGCGATGGACGCGCAGCATGTCGTGCCACTCGTGCCCGGCGGCGAGACCATGGCCGTCACCGTCGACAACCAAGCCCTGTACGTCCAAGTGATGACCGAGTACATCCTCTTTGGGCGCATCCAGCGCCAAGTCGAGCATTTTCTAGCCGGCTTTTTCGAGGTAGCCCTCAACGTGTGCAAGTCGAGTAGCACAGATGGCGTGCTCTTAGGTACTACCGCCCGAGTGGCTCGCGCCGTTCGACTACAAGGAGCTCGAGCTCCTCCTCTGCGGCATCGCCGACATCAGCGTCGATGATTGGAAGCAGTATACCTCCGTCTCGGCCGTCTTTACCACCACCGACGCCATCGTCTTGTCGTGGTTCTGGGATGCCGTCGCCAATATGACCAACACGGAGCGTGCCAAGCTGCTCCAGTTTGCCACGGGCTCGACGCACGTACCTGTCCAAGGCTTCAAAGGGCTCACGAGCACAGACGGCCGGCTCTGCCCCTTCTCGATCAAGGCCATCGAGTACGAACCCGGCATGCTGCCGCGGTCCCATGCGTGCTTCAACCGAATCGACTTGCCCGTGTACCCGTCGCGCGACGAGCTGAACGCGGCGCTGCAGCTCTTGCTGCAGATGGACATGACCGAGTTTGCACTTGTCTAACACGCTAGATACTCTTGGCTACTAGTACTAGAGTGCAGAAGTATAGTTGTTCAGCGAGGACCACCCGATTTCCTATTGAAATTGTAGCGAGTTTGTGGCCAGAGATCGTATCCAGCGCATCTCGACATCAGCCGTGCGTGCCAGTGAAAACGAGGGTGCACCAGAAAGGAGGGGTCCAGATATGCCTGTGACGTCGAGCCCGTAGTGTCAGTGTCAGACTCATCTCAGTACATTCATTGGTGCTAGCTGATCGTGAAGGGCGCGGTCATGCAAAGCGTCGTTCAGTGGTCGGCGACCCATGCTGGCATCAGTCCAGCCGCCTAGATACTTCTGTGGCTAGCACGAGGCCGAATTCGCTTATATCGTCCATCGGCCGCCACAGCAACAAGATAAGCAGAGGACCTGTCTCCCAGGACAGCTCATCTGATCTTGACTCTCGAGTGTTTTCGAGTGCCTTTAGACTTGGCCATATTTGTAGTCGCAAGCTTGATGTCGTCAGGGACAAGTGTACTTGGATACGGCAATTGATACCTTGCACAAATGAAAGATACCATCCGTGGCCGAGCCTCCGATGGCAGCGATGGCAGCCGTCGCGCAGCAGTACACTGCCACCTACGCCTGCGGCCAATACGTCGCTGGCGCATACCACCAGGATACACGCTTGGTGTCCACGCGTCGGCTTGCCATGGCCGGTGATCGGTCGTCGGCGGATCCACCTGCCATCGTGACACACCTTCTGCCACCAGCGCGGTGGTGGTCGCCACAACTGCATTTTCTCCGCCATGACGAGACGCCTGCTCGTGTCGCTCTGGCTTGCATCGCTCTTCGTGGCGGTGCGCAGCTTCGGCGTCTGCTACGACTCGTACGACCCGGGCAACGCCGGTACGCACTTCCAGACGATCAAATCGCGCTTCTCCTTTGTACGCACTTACGATACACACTTTTGGAACGGCGCCAACGCCATCAAGCTCGCGGCAGCCAATGGTCTCACCATCCACGCTGGCGTTTGGCTGCGGGCCGGCGACCAACAGATCGCGGCCGACGTCAATGCGATCATTGCGGGCCTCCGCAGCCACCCCAGTAGCGTCCCGATCGTCTATGTTGGCAACGAAGACCTCATGAACGGCTGGAACCTCGACATGGTCAGGGCCAAGGTCGAGTCGGTGCGCGCGAGCCTCGTCAACGCCGGTGTTAGCAAGAACGTGCTGATTGGATCGGTCCAAACGGACGGTGACTGGCTCGGCAACCGCGGTCTTGCGGCCGCCGTCGATGTCATTGGCGTCAACATTTACCCGTTCTTTGGCGCGTCGGAAGATTCCAAGACCAACCCGATCGCGGACCTCGAGACGCGCTGGAATGCGATGCTAACTGCGTTTCCTGGCAAGCGCATTGAGCTTGTCGAAACCGGGTGGCCCCACGCGGGCCCGACGCTCAACGGCCACGTGCCGAGCTACACGAATGCCGTCGACTACTTTAACAAAGTCCAAGCGTGGATCCAGAACCAGGGCAAGGGCGGGCAGCGGCCGTCGTACTTTATGTTTCACGACAACCCGCACAAGGTCATTGGCTCGATCGAAGGCAGCTTTGGCCTTGCCAACCAGCGCGGCGAGTGGAAGTTTAGCTTTGCCGGCGACAACAGCGGCCCGGCACCCGCCAGCCCAGCGCCGGCTTTGACACCGACACCGGCTCCGACTCCGACACCGGCCTTACCGACGTCGACGGGCAACCTCCGCGCGTCCTTCCAGCTCGTCACGGCCAAAGGATTGGTCGTTGCCACAGTCAACAACGCACTCTCGGCGGTCGCCAACACCAACCAAGCCGGTAGCTTCTGGACGTTCAACGCCGCGACGCAGCAAGTGCGCAGTAACAATGCGGACAATCGGTGCCTCGACGCGTTCCAGAGCAATGGCCAGTTTCACGTGCATCTGTACGACTGCGGGGACGGCAGCAACGGCAACCAAAAGTGGCGCGTCATCGATAACAAGGTTATCCACGCGACTCACTCGAACCTGTGTCTCGACGTCAACCCGACGGACCCGAGCGTCCAGGTCTTTGGGTGCGTGGCCAACAACGACAACCAGCGCTTCATCGTGACGGCGACGACGCAGCGCGCGCGCTTGACCAATGGCGTGCTCGCCTTGGCCGCGCTGCGCAGCGGTCAAGTGACCTTTATCAACTCCAACGCGAGCGAGGCCTTCTGGATGGTCGACGCAACGACGGGCCTTGTCAAGAACGAAGCCGTCGGCCAGTGCCTCGATGCATACCAAGCGCGCAACGGCGGCGCCGTGCACTTGTACGCATGCGAGGCGACCAACGTCAACCAGAAATGGGCGTACGATGCCACGACCAAGCAACTCCGCCACGCCAAGCACAACGGCTATTGCCTCGACATGGCCACGGACAGCGGGAGCTACCCGCATTTGTGGTCGTGCCACAGCGCGGCAAGTCCGTGGCTCCGCCTCCAGCAGTTTGTCTACGGCGTCTAGGACACTTGAGTAGTACAACGAATCTGTGTATTATTGTACCTGCGCGTCCGCGGTCGCTAAAAGGCGTGCTAGAAGAAGAGCTGATTGAACAATGATACGCGCACTAGCTACGGACGCAGACACAGATCTAACCCTAATCGCCGTCCAGGTCCCTACAGAGTAGTCACCCCAGTGTACACAGCAACACAGACAAAATGCGGACCTCGGAATCTCGAGATTCGCCACAATTATCCTGTTGGTATTTGTTTTGCAAGGATCAAGTGCGACGAGTTAATGCGGCTACAAGCAGTTGCCCATGGGGTCCCACACGGGCAGCACGAGGGGCGTGCCGTCACGCCATTGCGCAAGGTGCTCGGGGTCCAGAAACTTTTGGAGCACGACGACTTGGTACATGTGGTCGTCAAACCACGCGTCCGTCATAATGTCATATCTACACCACGTGGCATGTGCACAAGAAGACAATATGTCTGTCGCATACCCGGCATCGCCACGCTTTTTGCCCCAGCTGTTTTCAACCTTCCATTTCGTAGGGAGTGGCGAGCCGCTGTAGCCCGTAAAGACCATCGCATGCGTCATGGATCCGTTCTGAAAAATAGCATGTCGTTGCGAGCGGCGACGACAATGTTTAGTGTACCTGGTACTCCATGCGCTCGCGCTTCGTCATGCTCCACTGCGTGCCAAAGACCGCCTCCATCGCGTAGAGCTGCTTGGAGTAAACGCCGTAGACCTCGAGCTCCGAGTCGGCGTCGCAGTCGCAGCCAAACCACACGGGGAGGTCGGCGTCGAGCTGCGCCTTGGCATACCGCGCGAGGTCGGTCGTCGGCAAGTTGAGGTACCGAATCGGGTTGCCTTCGACCACGTTGCCGAGTCGGTCGACTACTCGGACACCATTGAAGAATGTCCAAGTTTCAACATGGCAACAGGAGCCCAAGCAATGCAAACAAATGCAAAAGAAATCCAAAAGAAATCCAAAAGAAATCCAAAAGAAATCCAAAAGAAATCCAGAAAAATCCAGAAAAATCCAAAAAATCCAAAAAATCCAAAACGAGGGTGCCTACCCGTCAGGAGGCTGCCGTACGCGTGGCGCGGGTCGTTGACGATGCTCACATAGTCGTTCATCGAGATGGGCACAACGTCCGTGAGAAACGATCGCGGCGTGCAGTTGAGCACGCTCACATACACCTCGTCCTTGTCGTGGGCTTCAAAATCAAAGTGTGTCGGCGGCGACCCGAGAAAAATGCTCAAAATGCGGTGGCACACGCCCAGCATGCGCCGCTTGGCCGCCTCGAGCGCACTGGGATCCGACGCATGCAACCGACGGAGCTCGGCCGCAAAGTCGCGCAGCTTGGCGCTCAAAAAGAGGTTGAGGCGCTCCGAGTCTTCCGTGCACTTGGCTTCGCCATAGACGTTCTTGGGCACGGCGCCGTACTACATGCAGTACTAGCAATGCATGCACGGTTTGGTTTGTACCTTGTTGACGATATTGACCAACATGTCCCATTGCCCGCCGTCGTTGGTCGGGTCGGCGAGGAAATGATGGACGAGGCGGTCGTCCACACTGCGGTCGGCGGTCGCAAGGATGTTCTCAAAAAAGAAATTGCACTTTTCGAGCTTGTCCTAGGGCGCCAAGCTGTCACAAGTGTCTAATACATTGCAAGGGCCTACGTAAAAGTAGAAGAAATTTTGGGAAATCTCAAAGTCAGGGCTCAGCGAATATTTCGTTTGGAGCGCCCGACGGAGCAGCGTCGACGCTGCAAAGAGCCAGCAGCTACGACCTGATGTGTGGCCTTCTGCAAGGATCGAGGGACTTCGTACCGGCCCGTCTCGTTCTGGTTGCAGACCTTGGCGTCCGGCAGCTTCTTGGCGAACGTGTGCGTCAGCCGCTGCAGCTCGCGCCGGTCCACGACCACGTCGTACCAGTTGGTCGACGTCATGGCATTGCGCGCAACGACGTTGCTGGGCGAGGCCTCAAAGGCCTCGTTGAGCTCTGCGAGGAAGGCTGGCGTCAACGGCGTCGCTACGCCCGGCGATCGTCAGCCAGCGCCCGGCGCTCGCCGGGCGCGTTACCTGGCATGGCTTGTGACAGACAAAAGCAAAGTCGGGTGATCGTAGCCGTCCATCAACCGGATACGACACTTGTATCCGGTGATTACACTATTTCCGTGCATATCTTAAAATAGATGTGTGCCCGACCCCTAGTGCAAACTCGCCCACGCGATGTCTCGTCGGTTGTCAAGTTGTCGATAGTCATTAATACGTGTATAACCTTTATAACAAATCACACGTCCACTGCGCTTGGACGTAAGGACGCCACAATGACAGGTGGACGTGACCGAGGAGCGCACGCAAGATCGGATGCTATCGCCCCGATCGATATGGATGTGTTACGCGTTATCTTGGTTGTTATAAAGATGCGCAGACTAGCCATCCCTTTATTTTTCCTCATTCGCTCGCCGGACCGGTGCGGCGCAGGCGGTGGGGGTACTTCTAGTTCTTCCTAAGTCGTTCGGGGGCGCTTGAAAGGCAGAGCGACAGAATGTGTACGTTGCATTTAACCGCGCAGTTGGACGAACAGTGTAGCTTGCTGCTGCAACGAGAACCACTCGCAAAATACCGAGCACTGGTAGACTTTGTCACGTACTCCTTGGTCCGTCGTTGGCTTACCGTGGCTGTTGGCAAATGTGCCCTGAAGACGATGAAGGGCCGGATACGCTAAGCGCGTCGCTTGGCTTGCACAGTGAACGCCGTCGACGGCTCCATCACCCCCGACTGGTCCCACTCCTAGTCGTCGGCAATGTAGCCGACAGCGTCCAAAAGCATGCGCTTGCAGAGCGAGAGTGATGTCTCGTGAACCGTCTTGTCACCGTTGTGACGCAGCGACTACTCGCAAAGACTGGATGTGAAAGGATTGATTACAACTAAAACGATAAGGACAACCAGGGACACAGTGTTTCGACGGTTCCACACATGTCGAACGCGCTCACTTCGTGCAGACCACTTGGTTGTTCTTGACGGCATACGCGGCGCATGGCGCGGCGTCGACAAGCGGCTTTGCAAATGCGTACCGGGCGCGGTTCTTCTGGACGCACGTCGCCTTGGCGCCCGGCGCCAAGCTCTCGCGTTCAATAAAGTCGCAGAGCAACGCGAGCTTTGCATCGTTGGTCATCAAGCATGATCGCATGTCGCCGAGGCTCTTGATAGTTTGCGGCACAAAGAACGCCTTCAAGCGGATGCCCGCAGCTTTGGATGCACTTTCGTACGAGACAACGTCTTTGTTCGGAGCAAACTTCCAGCCGTAAAAGCAGGCACCGCAGTCGTAGATGCCGTGGCTGCTCTTGGCCGCGTTGTACTGCACGCAACGGAACGGGTTGACAGAGATCTTGGTCGACTTGGCGTTCGAACAGGCTGACACGCCGTCGTACGTCGCGCCCGAGACGACCCAGTCGTTGGTCGAACACGTCGGCAAGCCGTTGATCGTCGACGTCGTGTACTCAGGGCTCCACATGCCAGGCAAGTAGACACCTGTCCGCGTCGCTGCCATGGTCAGGCCAAGGCCGTAGCACAAAAGAAGGACCGTACGCATGGGATGGAGCTTTTGGAAATGAACCTAAACGCCCGCGCCTTTTTAAACAGAAACGCCCGCCGTTTGGCATCAAATTCTGCGACGGGTCGACTGGGACGGCGGTTGTTGGCACCGCACGTCGCCACGTCTGTTGACCTACGTCCGAGTCGGCTTCCCGTGCTTCCAGTGGCGCTGCGATATTGATGCATTGTCGACTACGTGCGCATGCGAATGCATCTACCTCATCGATCCATCCATCGGCACTACATCCATCGATCCACAGGTCCTGTACAAGTCTCTACAGGCGACAAGGTGGCCCAGCACAGCGTCTTCAGGATCCTGAACGTCTTCTTTCATGAGGACAGGTACTAAATACATTCTCTGCACTGTACTGTACCGGGTAGGTGGTTGCGGCGGCTTTTTACACGGCATCGCTCGCGGTTTGATCTAAAGCAGCAAGTGGCGAAGCTACAGAGCTGCAACAGCTACGAGCCGGCATACAGCGTTCGAAGCTCGTCCGCAGATTGCCTTCACTGACCGATATCTTGTGTTTAGAAGAGAAGACTGCGATTAGGTGGTGCTTTATCAACGACGGAATATGTACTTGCAATAAACTTCCTTTATCGTTTATTATTTCTATACAATGCGATTGCAAGCAGGCTTACGCGACCGTGCGCGAGGCGCGGACCGAGCGGGCGTGCTGCGTCACACGCGCGGTCGACATGGACGGGTGGCCGGCGTTGATGCGCGAGTCAAAGGCCGTAGTCGAGTACGTGTTGGCGTTGAGGACGTAGTTGACCGCAAACTTGATCAAGTCGAGCGGGAAGTGCCACACGATCGACCACAACCACGCGATCACGAGGTAGCCACCGCCGCAGCCAAAGACAGCGATACGGTCCGACGGGTACCCGTTGAAGCCGTAGTAGCCGATGACCGACGCCACGACCTGGGCAAACACGAACGCGATGAGGAGGAGGTTGCACGGCTTCTCGGCAAAGAACCACGTGTTGATACCGGCCGTGCGCGTGACGAAGATGAGCGCCTGGCCCGAGATCGACACCTGCGTGTACACGAGCGAGCGGAGGATGCCGTCCTTCTTCTGCATGCCGGGGCCGATCGCCTTGTTGCCCTTGGTGTACTTGGTGTTGAAGTTGGAGTAGTCCCACACAAAGTCGCAAAAGCTCACGCCGTTGGTCAACGGAAGGTAGCCGCGGCCAATGAACGCGACACCGACACCATCTTCCGCGTCCTTGACTGCCTCGGGGTCGCCGTGTACTGCTTGACAAACTGATCGTACACCTGGAGGGCCGACGGCTCTTCGTCGAGGTCGTGGATGTGGCTGCCCCTTGAGGTTCTCGAAGAGCTTGACCCAGT